CAAAATTAAATCTACAAAAGTTGACCAAATGTGTGCACTTCAATTGCAACTGTTTCTCAATATTATCAAAAAAATAAAATCACATAAAATCTATATTCTAAGATACATATAGGGACTTCAGATCTGAGGTGATGTGCTCCATTTTCTTTGTTTAATGAGGACGCAGGCAGCAGCATTCTGGATCAACTGAAGCTGTCTGATCAACTTTTTATGCAGACCTGTAAAGAGGTCGTTGCAGTAATCAATTCTTCTTTAGATAAACACAAAAGTTTTTAACTTAATGTTTTAGAAAGGTTATGCTAAATTTCAACATACCAACATAACTTTTGCAGAAAATTTTTATTTTCTTTAGGCTATTAAACAACCAATTATTAATACATTTCATAAGAAAAAAAAAAATAAATAACCGCAGGTATACTCAGTATGAGGGATTATTGCAAAACGTCCAAATGCATGTAAAACAATTACTGTGAAATCTGTTACTTGCTTTATAACTAGGTAACTAGAACTAACTTAATCCAAATCTCTTATTTCTAATATGCACAATAATCAGACCTTATTTTCCTGTATGGTGCCACTCGATTACATTTTGTAGGAATTTGGTGCTGATGAAACTGCATAAAATATAAAACAAACAGACAGAAAATGGTAGGGATAGAAAAAACCGGGCAAAACAGAAAAAAAACTTCGTTTATTTTTTATGAAAGAAAGGGTATGCAAAAAAAAATAAAGTATATACTGCCCTCTAGTGGGTAAAAAATGACAAGAAACAGTGAAACGTGTCAACAGAAACCAATATTTTTGACATTCCTGCATAGTACAAAATCATAATTTTAATTACAGCTGTTCTCGCACATAAGAGCCACCTAACTCTTCAATAGCAGTTAAAAAAAAAACTTTATTGTAGATAAACGAGCATATAAATATAGTGGTTAAATGATTTTTAAAGTCAAAAGTTGGGATAGAAACTTATGCTATTTTGATGTACTTTTTGCTTCATAGATTTAATTTATTTTGAAAATAACCAAATAAAACCTCACATCTAAAACATGCAACGCTGTCATAAGAGATTGATATTATTCAATTATGGCCACAAATACCTACATTCTTTTGTTCTTGCAGCGAAATGCGTTGTTGCAGCTTTATTATAAGAAAAAAACAAAAACATCCAGGTTAAATTTAAGGTGTGCGAAAAGGAGGGCTCGTCCGGGATTTGAACCCGGGACCTCTCGCACCCTAAGCGAGAATCATACCCCTAGACCAACGAGCCGACGGACATTTCTCGTATGGACAGTCAAATTGGTGCAATGTAGACAGCCTGTCTGTTTTTTTTTCTTTATCCATTCTGTTGCTTTTTTTTTTTTTCTCCAGTTTCCAGTCGATCTGTTCAAACTAGTTTGTCGGTGTTTCTAGAGATGCTTTTTTTTAACCGCCAAATTGCTTCATTAAATATAAAAGATGATTTATTAACGTCAACACTGTAGGTTTTCTTAAAAAAGTCTACAAAGTCACGCATTAATTTGTCTGTCGGCCATCCTTTGGGATCATTTACTTAGTTGTAAGGTCTGTAAATGAACTTGAGAGGGCGACAGTTGTCCGGCAAAAGCCAAAGCCTATGGAGCACAGAAGGGCTGACTATTTTCTACTTCCGTTCGCTGTTATCTCATGAAAAAAAATAAAAAAAATAACACTCTTCTTATTTAAATACAGCCAAGGATTCAAAAACACTTTTTAAATGGGGCTCTGTTCCCCCATGTTCCTAACATAAAATAAAGGAATTTGACTTTTAAAAAACATATATAGTCTATATATTTGAATACCTTATTTATTTGGGATATAGTCAGTGGCGGCTGGTGAAAAATATTATTGGTGGGGCTGATATAGCCTAGTGTATTTCTCCAACTAATCCGGAATAAGAATTCAAATAAACAATTGGACAATACATACAATTTAACAGTAATGATTTAATTTACTATAT